CTGCTTCCATCAAATTGGCCTGTGGACATGTCTGTAGGATATTTTATTGGTTAATGATTGGTGTGGGAGGGCCCAGTCCATTGTGGGCAGTGCCAGGCCTGGGCAAGTAGTACTGAGCAAAGAAAGAGCAAGCCAGTGACCAGTGTTTCTCCATGGTCTCTCCTTCCCCTCGGCCTCTCTCAGTGATGGACTCTAAACCAAACAAACCTTTTGTCCCCCAAGTTGCTTTGGTCAGGGCATTTTATCTCAGCAACACAGATGTACACTAGCACATTACACCAAGTTTATATTCCCCCAGTTAAACAGATAAGGTCCAAAGGTCCAGAACACAGTTTAATAAAAGTCTAGGTTATTGGGAAAGACTGAGAAACCAAAGTGTGTTTTTCCAAGAGTTATTATTCTAATCTTTAGGATTACCTGAGCTAAGACCCAGGGGGACAGGACAGTCAGTGTCTTTAGGTCGGGAGGGAGGTGCCTTAAAGGATTTGAAGAGCTCTGTAGCTGGATCAGCCTGTCATTGTTTAGGTCCCTCCCCATAGATTAGAGGCCTCCAAGAAGAGATCAGGGGTCTGACATGAGGAAAGTCTTCGGTTTCCCAAGATAAATCATAATACTTGGGTTCCATCAGCATCAAGAATAATTCCCACTCAAATTTCACTTTGGAACAGGAGGCGGCTGCATCGCTGTGAATTTGAGACAGGAGAATAGCGGGGGAAGGGGGGGGCAGTTTAGGAAGTTAGCTGTAGAGGAGTCATTTCTCATTCTGGGAACGACAAAGCTGAGCTGGCAGTGCAGATCCTGTGAGTGGAGGGGCCAGAGTTCAGGGTGGGAAAGAGGGAAAGATCTGAGAATCTTTTGCTAGTCAAAATATTTTTCAGTGTCTTTTTGTTAGAGTCTGGTTAGTCGATGAAATTGCCTTCTCCTTAACAACTCTAAAGCATTGCCAAGCATAGTGGTTCATGCCTTTAATCCCAGGCAGAGGAAGGTGGATCTCTGTGAGTTCAAGACCAGCGTGGTCTACAGAGTGAGTTCTAGGACAGTCAGGGCTCTTTCTGGAAAACAAAAAATAAATAAATAAAATAAGATAATTCTAAAGCATCCTGAACAGCTAGTGCAGATCAAATATCCACCCTTCTTTATTTTATGTCTTTTCACCATCTCAGTCAACATAGGCAACAATTTTACCAAATGTCTTGTTGCAGTATAACCAAGATTATCTTTCCAGTCTGTAGTATCTTTTTACTTGATACAAAAGTTGGTGTGGACTAGAGATAATATTTTTAAGTGATAACCATAATGTGATGCTGATGGAGCTAGATCAAAGGGCACATTTTCAGAAATGATTACCTTAGGAGTCCATTAACCATGTCATTTCCTAGGCTGGCCATGAACTCTCAAGCTGTAACTACTGCCTCTATGGGCCTACTCTATCTAGGGGGAAGCAGGAAGTCTGGCCTTTGCCTCTCAAATATCAGCAGAGGAGACTTGACAAAAGGCAATGGGTCCCACAGAAGGCAGATCAGAGGTCTCTGCTGCTGCAGCTGCTCTAGTCTATCAGAAAGTCCGCTAACAAAGCATGTGAAACTTCTTCAGAAGCATGACTCCTCCAAAAGTGCCGCTGGAGATTAAGCCCTTCAACAGCAGGCTGATTAATGAGATTTCCAAGTAAGACAAAGAAACATCCAAACTGACAGAGATGCAAGTTTTATCACTGAAACAAAATCAATGTGAAATAGCAAGGCAACATGACCCCCAAAGACAAGATTTCTTCAGTCACCGAATTCAAAGAAATTGAAATAGACAAAGTGTGGGATGAAGATTTCAAAAGTTTACCAATAAAAAAGACGCCAGCTGCCTGAAAGAAAATAGAAACAAGCAAATGAATTCAACTGAGGACCTAGAAGGAAAAGTCAGCAAAATGATGAGAAAATCAACAACATGGATAAAAATGGAAGTAATATGGAAAAAATGTTACCTAGAAAATTGAGATTTGGGAAAAACCCAATCAAATAGAAGCACTGAACATTAAAAACTCAATGAATCAAATAAAAACACAGTGAAAAACATTACCAATAGACTCCACCAATCAGAGAACAGAATATAAGGGCTGGAGAACAATGTCAACAAAATACTATATTTAAACATCAATTAAGAAATCAAGTGAGACCATGTGTGGCAGTGCACACATTTGGGAGGCAGAGGCAGGTGCATCTATGAGTTTGAGACCAGCCTGGTCTACAGAAAGAGTTCCAGGACAGCCAGGGCTGTACAGACAAACCCTGTCTCAAAAAAACAAAAACTATAAAATGAATGAGCATTGCCTTAGCTTCAAGATATCTGGATTAAAAGAGCAAATCTACAAATTCATGAGATAGAAAGAACTGAGATAAAAACCAAAGGCAAAGAAAATCTATTTAATGAAATTATAGCAGAAAAATTCTCAAATTTAGAGAAATAAATGGACATCTCTATTAGTTATGTTTTGTTGCTATGAGGAAACACCATAACCAAAGACAACTTCAGGTAGACAGTTTGTTTTGACTTATGGTACCAGGGGAAAGGTCATGGTTGCATGAAAGGTATGACAGCAGATGACCAGAACAGGAAGGTGAGAGATCATGTGTCCATCCACAAGAAGGAAGCAGAGAAAAGAAGTTGAAGTGGGTCACGGCTATGAACTTTCAAAGCCCACCTCCAGAGACGTAGCTCCTCCAGCAAGGCTACACTTTGTAAAGGATTCATAAATTCCCCAGTACCACCAACTGGGGACCAAATGTTCCAAATATGTGAGCCTATGGAGGACATTTCTCTTTCAAACATCGTAACACCCAAACACAGGAAGCATTTAGAACCCCAAATAGATACAACAAAAAAAATCTCTCTACCACATTCATAGTCACATGTGAAAAATACAAAGCAAAGAAATGATATAAAAGGCTACAAAGGAAAATGTCAACTCATAGCAAAAGCAAACACATGAGTAGCATCAGATCTCTCACCAACACCGATAAAAGCCAGGACAGCATGGACCTAGTGGGACAATGTATCTCAAGCCCTAAAAGTCAATAGCTTCCTACCAAGAGTAAATATCATGACAGCCATGCCAGAATTATGGAAGATACTTAAAGGAGAATTTCAATTATGGAAGCACAGAAAACAATAAATTTAACAGGAGGAATCTGAACAAAAGTGAGCTAAGATGGAATCTATCATGTCCCACATAATGAGCCAGTAACCTTTTCATGCTAATACAGAATAAATAAAACTACATAGAACAACTACATAGAAAGCCAGAAAAACTTCCAGTAAAATATAGGAATTAGTAAATATCTCTGACTGATAATTTTAAGTATAAATGACCTCAACTCAGGAGCAAAAAGAAGCAGACAAGCTAACTCTATTGCAAAAACTAAATCCAGGCTGGGTGTGATGGCTCATGCCTTTGACCCCTGCTCTTGGGAGACACAAGCAGGCTGATCTCTGTGAGCTTGGTGCCAGCCAGGTTCACAAGTGAGTTCCAGACCCATTCAAGGATGCATAATGAGACTCTATCTTAAAACACAAGCCTTCTCTCTAAGAGGCATATCTCACTGGTAAAGACATCACAGGCAGACTGGAAGGATGGTGTACAATTTACTGAATGAATAGAAGCTGTGAACAAGGTGGTCTGTGACCAGGTAATCATCAAAGTGCCATTAGTAAGAAAAGATAAAGAAGATATTTATATTACATGTTAATAAAGGGAACAATTCATCAAGATAATTTAACAATGTTAAGTATACATGGATTAAGCATTGAGGCTCTCAATTTCACAAAATGAATCCTAAGGAAGGAAAGTATCTGACAAGTCTTGATACAGTAACAGAGTAAATAGTGGCACCAAAAACAGAATACATTTTCTTTTCAGGAGCCCCTAGAACCTATCTCTAAAATAGACCTCATCCCAGGTAACAAGTGTCTTTATTTTAAACAAAATTAAAACCAAACTTTTTGTGTTGTAATGTCGTTCACAAATTAGTAACACCTTAATAGAATGATTTGATATAGTTTCAAACAGAAGAAAAGGGGTGATGTTTTCATAAGTGAACCATTGTAATAAAGACACTCAATGATGCATCCTGTCTTATATTTTGCAGGTTATCTTCTGCTGTCTGCTCACTCCTCATAGTGCAAGTGGCACATGCATGCGCGCATGTGCTTGCATACACACACACACACACTAGAAAGATGTTTTTTAAAGAGTATTCAACATTGTTGGGTGTGGTGGCACATTCCTGTAATCCCAGAATTTTCGAAGTGGAAACAGGAAGAGTTCAAGATCATCCTTGGCTACATCAACATTTAATTCAGCCTGGGCTACACAAGATCCTCTCTCAAAAATGAAATAATAATAAAAATATTCTATATCCTTAGGCATTAGAGAAATAAAAATAGAAACTACTATGAGATCCCAGTTCATCTCAATCAAAAGGGCTAATGTTAGCAAATGCCAGCAAGGATGTGGAGAGAGAGAATATCTTTTATTTGCCTATTGTAAAGACTGCAAGCCAGTGTGATCACTATGAAACTCAGTGTGAAGGTTTCTCAAAATCAAAAAATCAGACCAGCAATGTGACCCAGTTATCTGTCCTTGGGCATATCCCTATAGAACTAATCCCTACAACAGAGCTACTTGCTCATCCATGTTTATTGCCAGGAAATGGATCCAGCCTCTAGGTGTCCATTAAAAGACACATAGATAAAGAAAATGTGGTGTGTATACATAGTGGAATTTTTTTCAATAGATTCTCAGTTTTCTATATATGCACATATGTCATGGAGGGTTAATATAGGTCTGAAGCTAGAGAGGGAGCCATGAAAGGGGCAGGGGGAGACTAAAGATGGGCAATAGAGCACATATGTCATGAGAGTTGAACTGGGACTATTGAGAGCAGGAAGTGGATGGGAGAGACTGGGGACAGGGGAGCAGGGGGGGAGAATCAACAACAACAAAGTATGCATCATCCTGAAACCCATTACTTTATATGATAATTTTAAAAAACAAGCACCAAAATCAATAAGTTCAAAAAGTAGAAAGTACTACATTCAGAGTAGCCACCCAAAAAGTTGACAGTGCTCTGATTTCCCCACCACCCATCTAGTTTACAGGAGCACCCAATGCCAGGCTGCACCCAGGCTGGTTCCCACCATTCCTTTTAACTTATGCCAATCTGATAAACACAGATGTATCTCTTCCTGTTTGTAACTGTTTGATTATCGTTGAGGGAGAACATTGTATGCTACCACAGATGCCACTGGGTTTCATGGGTTGTGCCCATTTCTCTCTTGATCAGATTTTCTAAAAAATACTGATTTATAAATCGTTGAGAGCATTTCTATAATGAGCATATCGATGTGTTATGGTTTGTTTTCAATTCTTGCCCCTCTCCCCCTACCATCCAGTTCTCTTGAGCAGAACCTAGGTAGGTCTATCCTATAGATTTTTTACATTTATTTTTTAAGATTTTATTTTATTTATGTGTGTGTGTGCATTTGTTCATATGAGTATGTGTATGTGGGTACCCTCATAGGCTAGAAGAAGGCTTGAGATCCCCTGAAGCTGGAGTTGCTGGTAGTTGTGAGCCACCAGACATAGGTGCTGGAAACCAAACTCAACTCCCTTGCAAGACCAGCAGGTGCTGTTAACACAGCCATTTCTCTAACTTCTATCCTTTAGTTTTTTTTAACTGAAATAATAGCCAACATTTGTTACAGCCCAAATCTTTTCAGTATAGCAGTATAACAAATAAATGTTTCTTTTTTTAAGCCATTAGGTAAAGTATATTATTGGTTGTTTTTGTTGTTTTTATGCACTAAACTCAGAACTTTAAGCATACTAACCACACAGTATACCAGTGAGCTATATTATATATCTTAAGCCCTAGAAATGGTATTTAGAACATCCACATCAATTATTTGGCAAGTTTGTCTTTATCTCAACACTCACATCCACTCAGGAAAATCAGCTAAGGCTTCCAGGATCTATAAGGGTTTGCCACATCTTTCTGATAATCCTGCCAGAATTTATATGAATTCCAGGTCCTCACCACACTGTTGAGTTCCAAGTGTTCATGGGGGTGTGTGTAGGCAAGGATAGGGCTTAAATTCTCTGGGTTGGCTGAACAGAAGTACTTGTTGCCCTTTGATTGGTATCAACAGATGTGGGCTGGTCTTTGTATCAAACAACTGAGAGGTGCAAAGACCCCGGGCTCTCAGATCAGCGATCTTCAATAGTAGTCATGACTATGAAGTTAAGAGTCTTCTGTCTTGTCCCACTTCTTCTAGCCAGTTATGTGCAGGCAACCCCCAGGCGGGAAAAGATGAAGGTGAGTAAGATCCATAGCCAGCACAGCAGGGCTGAGCATGGTCACTCGTGTGCTCTGCTCTTAGAGCTCGTTCTTCAGCCCATCTTGTAAGAGTCTCACCTCTGTCTTCTGCTCTTGTGGTCACTCCGAACCTTTCTTCTCTTCTTGAATGATCTTCGCTTTTGTAAATAGGTGTCATTGAGTGTCATATGGGTAAGGAAGAAAGGATGCTCTAACAGCGGTCCTTTCTCCACTACTTCTCCAAGTGGATGCCCCCTATCAAGTCACGTTAGATCACAACAGGTCTGAGGGCAGAACTTCCATGGTCATTCAGTGAGTAGGGGCTGGGGTTTGGAGCAGAATGATGAACAAGGGAAAGGCTTCTTTCTGAAAAACAAACAAACAAACAATGTGGATTTTTAAGAATAAAGGAACACATGGGGAAAAGCATTAGACAGAGTCGTATTGGATTGGAGCTTTGGAGCACCCGTAGGGGTCTGAGAATGTAGTCTTAGCTCTACTCTCAATATGGAGCTCAGCTGCCTGATCAACAGTCTCTGTGTGGTGGTAGAAAGGGCAGTCCACAGGAGGACAGTAATACATGAGGGGATATTAGAAGCAATCAAGCCTTCATTCACACAGTGGGACAGAATTTCTGGGGTTCTATCCATTCCTAATTTGTGGGTTATATATTATCCAGCTTGGGTGGGAGATCAAAAATCAATGTGCACATAATTTTGTTTATAAAAGGCAGCTCTGGGAAGACTTTCTCTTTGGAACTGACAAGAGAAGTTTCTGGGTAGATACGGTTTTAATGTCACCCTGAGCCGCCAATGTGGAGACTCAGAGTTTAATAAAGGCTGGTCTGGAGTCATGGAGACCTAACACTCAGACTCAAAATATTTGGAAGAGCAGGACAATCAACGTCAAGAATAAACTGGAGGGTCTGGTAAGATGGCTCAGCAGTTACAAGTGTTTACTGATCTTACAAAGGACCAGGGTTCAGTTCCCAGCACCTACTTGGTAGCTCACAACTACCTGTAACTACTACTTCTCACCTCTGCAGGTTCCTATGTATACATGATGCACATGTATATACTCTCAGGCATGCACACACACACACACACACACACACACACATACACATTAAATAAATGTCGGTTTTGAAAGAAAAAATAAATGGAATAGCTGGGCAGGGTGGCTCATGCCTGAGCTTGGCACTCAAGGAGCTGAAGCCAGAGAATTGCCATGAGTTTGAAGAACACCTGGCCTACATAAAATCAGACCGTGCCTCAAACCCTCTCTCACCTGAATAGATAAGATGGACTAAAATGAGTCTCTCTAAGATATTGTACTGTAGTACTCAATATGATTTTCATTGCCAAAGCTTCTTACCCACTTTCCCCAAATAGTATGGCTTGAAAGTAGGCATCAAGAAGGTGAAAATGAATGCTTTTTATATGTTCTGCATATATACCTGAGTATTGCTGATGTGTGTGCGTGCATGCGTGCATACAAGTGTGTGTGTGTGTGTGTGTGTGTGTGTGTGTGTGTGTGTGTGTTTAAAGAAAGGCTCAAAAACTTACATAGAGAAAGTGCCTTCCCCCTCAGAGTAGGACCTACAACCTCAGATCCTAGTGATGGGATCTTCAATTGTAAAGCGTTGGAAACGCTGGATTTTGTTTTGCAGTATTCCTTCTCTGGGTGGGAGCAGATGGTGCTGAATAAGTCCTTCCCAGCACAGCACTTCCAGGAAGTCTGGCTGAATCCTTGTCTAAGTTCATCTTCTTTGTCTGATAAAGAAAGTCCATTTTGATTTTTTTTTTTTTGCCAGCTTAACAGTGCTTTCTCAGTCAATGACAGCATGTAGCTTTCTTTTCATGATTTTTATACTCCTTGTATTCTATGAGCAATTTATAACTGCCTTCATAGCACAGTGAGTGGATTTAACTGTGCTTGTGAGCATTCATCCCTACAACTTCACATTGCAGGGACCTAACCAAAGCAGAGACAGAAATAAAACCTAAGACCTGCCTCATAGAGAAATTCAGTGTGAGGACATGCAATGAGAATTTCATGTAAACCTTACTTTTTTGTGTTTTGTTTGTTTGTTTGTTTTACAAGATAGGGTTTCTCTGTATTGTTTTGGAGGCTGTCGGTCCAGCCCGGCCTCGAACTCACAGAGATCTGCCTGCCTCTGCCTCCCGAGTGCTGGGATTAAAGGCGTGCGCCACTACCGCCCGGCTGTAGACCTTATTTTTCATATATGGCAGTCTCCTCAAATATCTTCAGATACAACAGGCTAGTCTGTCTCGATCTAAGACAGGCTTTAGGGCTCTCCATATTCTTTCTTGGCACATACCCCTAGTTTTTTTTTTTTCACAGTGTTGTCATATAAGACAACTATATGAGTAAGACAGTGAAAGAAAGAGAAATCCATTACAAAACTGTATTAGATTCTAGAACTACAAACCTGGAAACTTCTTTGCTCTGCTTTACTTTGTGGAAGAGGAACTCTAAGGCCCAGAGGTGAGAGCTACCGAGATTCACAGACACTCTGAATGGTAGATCTTATTCCAGTCTAGAGATCTTCCCATTCTATCGCATTCACGAGTGGGGTGAGAAGCCAGAAGACTTAGAGAAGAGAAGTAGCTAGGCTGTCTTGAAGCATTCAAGCAATGAAAATCTGACCTGATTGGAGAGCAGCCAGGCAGTGTGCTTTTAATCCACGGCTGTTCTCAGCCTCCTTCTCCCAAAAGCTAGGGTTCTTTTCTCTTTGATGCCATTTGCTCTTAGTTCCATCCAATCTAATTTGTCCACAATGGCCTTGTCTCTTGCCGTGCCAGGGTAAGGAAAGAGTGACAGACAACCCACTGCCACTCCTTTTCTCCACAAAAGCAATACATCAAGTCCCACTTTTCCTTTTTCTGATCTCTTACACAATTCCTGTTTGTTTTCTGTATCCCGGTTAACACCTTCATTGTTCATGTGTGCTGTGAATGATCAAACAGATATGGGGTGTTGTGGTCACTCTTAACAAAGCTTTCAAAATCCTTCCAGAGGGATTGCTACACAGATGTGAAAGGCACCATCTATGACTACGAGGCTTTTGCTATTAACGGGAAGGAACGCATTCAGTTCAAGCAGTATGCAGGCAAACACGTCCTCTTTGTCAACGTGGCTACCTATTGTGGTCTGACAATGCAGTACCCTGGTAAGAATTAAGAGTCATATGACTCTATGACAAAATTTTTCAGCTGACGATATTCTAAATTACATTGGGAATTCTATTACAATTTTATGTGTCATAGTAATTTATGTCATTCTCTGATGTCTTAAATTGGCAAGCAATGGCCCACACGTTAAACCTAGTCAGTTTATTTTTGTAAGGGCTTCATTGGAGCACAGCATATCCTTACCTATGGCACAACATATCCCAAGGCAGAGGTCAGTAGTTCTGTGGATACTAGTGAAGGGAAGCATGTGATCTGCAAAGCCTGAAACACCTTTCAGCTCTCAGCAGAAGAAAACAAAACTGCTGGTTCTATCCCTGGGGAGGCCTGGTGTCTGCTTTGAGATTGACACTGGAATCAATATATATTAATGAATTTGATACTTCTCAGAAAATTCCAGAAGTGTCCTTGGCAAATATAGGAGAGAAGATCCATGTTTTTTGAGACTTTTCCAGAGAAAGCTATAATGACCATGAGAGGGCCATGGGGACTTTTACCTGGTGTGGCGTATGATTAGAGTAGAACCTGATGGAGAGGACTGCTGGCTGCTTGAACTGATAAGGCCTGCTTGTGAATTACGGTGTGCAGTGTGCTTTGCAGAAGTAATATTTTCATAAGGAACAAAAGTTAAAGGAACAAAAAGTCTTAGCGTAAAAACCTCTTTCCTTCTTGCCCCTCTGAAAAGACTAGCGTGTTTGTGAAAACATTCTTTCTTCTGAAGTCTCTGCCATCAAATATTGTAAATACTATCTGATGACTTCTAGATTAATAAAGCACATTTGAAGTCAGTCCAATTCCTCATTCTTTTCCACTTGAGCCAAAATCCATCATATCAGCTTATAGGGACCTTAAAAATGAATTTATACCCTGGCATGATGATGCATAGCTGTGATTCCTATACTGCAAAGGTTGAGAAAGGAAGGTCATGAGTCCTAGGCCAGCCTGCGCTAATAGGACGACCATATCTCAAAGAGAAAAAAATCAATGTATTTAATTGCCACGTAGCATGTAACAGATAAGTAATCCTGGAAGAGTTGCTATAGGGCTGAAGGCAGGCTTCCTAATTTCTTGTCTCTTTCCTGGAGAGAGGGAGGGATTGTCTGGTGAAGACAAGAGGGGTTGGGGAGGAAGAAAGCAAAGTGTGTGGAAATAGGGAGGCAATCTTTAACTTTAAAAAGGGCCTTTGAGAGATGCCAATTGGCCAAGCTGAACCCTAGTATGACAGACTTGTGTTTGTCAAGGGGCTAAAGGCATAGAACCCAGAAAGGGTTAACAAAGAAAACAACTATCAAAGTCTGAGCAAGGCAATTGGAACACTTCATGACAGTGGACAGGAACACTGGAGTCTATGCTTTGGTTCAGCTTTGAGGACTTTTTAAAGGTAGAATTCATCTTTGACTTCCCCAGGACAGTTTCTGAGTATCAGGAAGTTCAGCATGAAGCTCTCAGATGTCAAGTGTGTCTGCACCTGTTCAGCATGAGCTAGCCTGTACCCAGGAGAGATCCTCAGTTCTCATCTGTGCCTGTACCTTTAAGAAAAGAATGGTCCATCCAACAAAGATGACTAGATGATGAGCTGTGATATTCCTAGCTGGCTTTGTTTAAATAGTGTCAGGGTTTTAAGTAACAAACACGGGTGGGCTTCATCTCAGAGGAAAGGAATTGGAAATGGAACCTGGGAAACCCTGTTTGTTAAAGGACCCCGTGTGATTGTGAGTGTGAGAAATGTTGCACCATAATAAGGGGGCTCAGAACACACGTCTAACTCGAGTCATGACATTCAGATGTTCCTCTGATCTACAGAGATGGTCTTCTCCTTCTGTTTCTTTCTCTGTAAAACGACCAGCTCATGGGGTCTTTTTCCAGTCAGCCTAGGCTATATGAAGTTCCATATGTTGATTATAGTAGAAACAGATTAAAGGGATCCTTCCTGGATGTGGGGTCTCGAGTACAGGGCATCATGTTATCCCTTTTCTACCACAGAACTGAATGCACTCCAGGAGGAGTTGAAGCCATTGGGCTTGGTTGTGTTGGGCTTTCCCTGCAATCAATTTGGAAAGCAAGAACCAGGAGAAAATTTAGAGATTCTTCCTGGGCTCAAGTAAGTACCTGCATGAAGCCCGTTAGAGGCCTTGTCACCTTCCTGTCTCAGAGGCCCTTCTGGCCTTCTGAACCACCTGGGAGGGTAGTGGTTCAAAGGCTCGGGGGCACCTGCAATCGGATTTTAATTGAGGAGAATCTGACAAAGTTCATAGAGCCTCTCTTCACTCCTGAGACCTGGATGGATGATGGAGAAATTGGAGATTGACTACTCCTGAGGCAGAAGCAAGGAAAGGAGTAGAGACAGACTACAATCAAGAAATATGAAGTAAATCAGAGACCAACATGTAAAGCAGGCCTTTGCCTCCTGCATACCACCCCACCCCACCAGCTCTCTGCCTCTTTCTGTGCTTTCTCTGTCTGCATCTCAACGTCTTGTCATGGCATTTACCTCCAAGTCCCTACCTCTGGCATGTTGCAGGTATGTTCGTCCTGGAGGAGGATATTTACCTAATTTCCAGCTTTTTGCAAAAGGGGATGTAAATGGTGAAAAAGAACAGAAAATCTTCACCTTCTTGAAGGTTAGTGAGTTGCTGCAGTATGTACAGCTCCTTTCCCCAATCTTCCTAGCATCACTTGGGGGCTTAATATTTCCCTCTGTTGGTTATGGTAGAAACAGACCCAAGGACTCGTTCCTGTTTTGCATAGAGATTTGAGCTAGTCTTTAACATCTGTAGGACGCTGGGTTTGTGAGAAATAGACAGCTGTGTGCAATGGCAGCTTTTACTTGGCCTATTGCTCATTCATTTCCTCATCCATCCAAGGTATTTTTTGATGAATGTCTGCCACCTATAGGGTAGCTCATGTAGTAACAACATAAAGAACTCAGAGTGTACAACTGCACGACTTTTCATGTACTGATGAAACAGAACAGTGTAAGGAGGGCTTCATTAATTCCATCCATCTAATTTTTAAGGTGGCCCTCTATTGTAAGGTCATGGGCCACGTGCAAATTATTCTTATAGTGGTCTTTTTAAAAGTAAGTGGCAAAATGTGGTTTAGCCTTTTTTCTTCTTTGATAAAGTCTTAGTAGCTCTAAGTTGTTCTCCAAAGGTATTTTTTGAAATTCCACTGACCAGTAGGACCTAGACCTTGGAAAGAATATTCTAGCCCAAGTAATTCATTCACTTTGCAGAAAAGGATAATGAACCTGCAGGATAGTATTTGTCTGCCATCCTAGCACATGGGAGGTGGAGTCATGAGGATCAGAAATTCAAGGTCATCTTCAGATACATACTGAGTTTGAGGCCAGCATGGGCTTCATGAGACCCTGTTTCATAAAGCAAACAGCAAGAAGAAATGAAAGTTTGAAAGGCAATGCATCTTAACCTGTGTGATGTGACTGTGAAAGCCAGAATGAGGGAATGCACTCAGGCTACGGCATCAACAACATTCTTGGGGATTGGCATAATGGTGGTTAGGAGAATGTGTGGCATCCAGCAGGAACCACAGGAGGCTAAAATAGCTGGGTCCACTGGGAGGGGATTACCAGTGAGTGAGGAGACCCTGGACATCCAGGAACAGAAATCATGTGTTTTCTTTTCTCTACTTCTCTGCTGCAGCACTCCTGCCCTCACCCCTCAGAGGTTGTGGCCTCAAACAAACATATCTACTGGGAGCCAATAAAAGTCCATGACATCCGGTGGAACTTTGAGAAGTTCCTGGTGGGACCCAATGGAGTCCCTGTCATGCGCTGGTTTCACCAAGCTCCAGTTAGCACTGTCAAGGCTGATATCCTGGCGTACCTGAAGCAATTCAAAACCAAGTAGGAAGACTAGTCTTCAGAGCCCATCCTACTTCTCCCTTAAAGAGCTGTTCTGAAAACATCCATCTTCGCATCCCACTCTTTACTTACTGCCCAAGTCACTCCTAACTTGCCTATGTCCCTTCCCTGCACAAAGTGGATTTATGTCTGGAAAGCAGCTGAGAGGGAGTGGGGGGAAAGTGGGGAAAACCAGCATAATTCTATTTTAATTAAAACATTAAAAAGAAAAACTAAGATAATGCCCCTATGTATTTGGGGCATTCTCTTTTCTTTTGTTTGTTTGTTTGCTTGCTTGCTTAGGTTTGGGGCAGGGGGTTCAAGATGATTGATGTATGCTCCTGTAAACAAGGGGTGGAGGCAGAGAAAAATCAAGAATTCAAGATCATCCTTGGCTATATAAAGAGTGTGAGAGCAATATGTCTACAAGATTCCTGTCTCAAGGCAGGGGAGGGGAAATGACAAATGATCCTATTTATTTCATCACTTAAAACTATTCATAATTAGCTTGATGTAATTTGACTCACCACATCGTTCTAATGTGTCTATTTCCTCTATGAGAACTCATCTGTTCCGATCGGTGTCCTTTTGCAGAAGCCTTTCGTCCTCTTGGCGTCTGTCTTCTCGTATTTTTAAATGTCTGTTCTCTGACTTCTCCGATGTTTTGGGTTCTCAGGCTTCACATCCACCTGATGAATGTGGGTGATCCAGCTCCTTAGAAGTGTGAGAAATTTGCGTTTCCAATGGGGCGACCTTTAAAAGGACTTGAAAAAGTGAATTCTCAAGAATCATAAACCTTATACACATACACAGTACCGACAGTTGTGTGCCTACTGCAACCCCAACACACCCTTCACAGACCAGGATATGATTCAGACTTGTGACCTCCCATCCCGCCCCACCACAGTCCACAGTGCGCATAAACTGGCCGCCACAGAGATTGTCCGACTACCGTTTATTTCCAAACTCGAGGCATGAGCGCTACCAACTTCTTAAGCAATCGGTCACTGCAGCTAGAAAGATAGTCATAATAAGGAGCTGTAAAGACAGTTTCAATAGTTGTGAAGAGTTAAGTAGCGCAAAGCGCAAAAAGAACAACCACGAAGGGATTCGAACCCTCAATCTTCTGATCCGAAGTCAGACGCCTTATCCATTAGGCCACGTGGTCCTACGGCAGGCTTAAGGTGGAAAAGTGTAACAAATGTCTAGAACGTGAGCGGGTGGTCTATATTTTTTTCCAGGTTTAGCTTAACAGTACATTGTCTGCTACGAACGTTATTACAAATAACATTATTCTAAAAATCTAAGTCACTTCTTGGATATAGCTCACTAACAAGCAAAACGCAGATCGTCCGCTTTTAATCTCGGTACCCTAGAGGCAGAGGAGGGTGGATTTCAGGGAGTTAGGACCATCTTGTCAACATAGTGAATTTCAAGACTGTCAGGGCTACAAAGAGATCCTGTCTCAAAACAAACAAACAAACAAAAACAAAAACAGCAACAATCAAAAAAAGAATCAGTATATTCCAATGGTCTCCAAACGCCCAAAAGTGAGTAATGTTCCACGTATCTCTCTACTGATAAGGGTTTTAATAAAGAAGCAAAAAGGAAAGAATTCATTATTCCTCTATAATCCTTGCTACTCATGGTTGGCCAGTTTAGTCAGGTCTGAGACCCTCTGGGAATAAATGATAACCCTGTAAAGGGAGAGGAAAGACCCTCCCAGTGACCCTGCGCTGCGCGCATGTCCCCAGCCCACAAAGCTTTCATTTACCTTGCTATGCTTTCTCCAGTGTGACCCTTGGAGAGTGAGTACAGTGTAGTGGTTGGTCCATTGTCAGCTTGCCACTCAATCACGTGAGTAGGGAGCATCAACTGAGAGCATCACCTGAGAAATTATCCTGATTGTCCTAATTGATGTGGGGAAACTCCCCCCGAGGGTGAACCGTACTTCTGGTAGCAGCACTGACTTAAAGACAGAAACAAAGCAAATCTACATGGTAGAAGGAAGATTATTCGCTTTGGCTGGTTTGAACCAGTGTTTCCAGGCATCGCTGACTAGGGACCAAGAATCCTGTAGGTTTTCCGTGCCAGATTGTGACTGCTGAGGTTCCCAGCCCAGCGGGCTCTCCGATGTGAGACTGCCACTGTGGGACCGGCCCTTCGCGGAAGTAACCAGCTTCCAAGCTGACATACATACATACAAACAAACATACATGCATACATACATACATACATACATACATACACACACAACACACACACACACACACACACACACACACACACACACACACTATCCGTGCTGATCATTAGGGAAATCCCAAATTGCACCAGGAAACACCCTGTGGTTTCCTTCCCCAGCCACGCTGGGGTCCCACTCATCTGGGACTCATTTCCCCAGCTTGGAAGTGTGGAAGAAATTTGATTTTCTGAAAAGTTCGGCCAATCAGAGACTGTCTCCTCTAGCTCTAGGAAAAGTGAGGTCCAACACCCTCTGAACGTGGACCACTTAGTGTTCGTCAACCAGCCTGGCAAGGGTCAGTATATAGCCGAGATCCAAACTTACTCTGAGACCTAAAAACATGAGAGGTTTCTGATTTGTTTGTTTTCTAAGGAGCAGATTAGAGTTATCGATCAGCAAGAACACAGTTGGAGAGAAATTTGCCCAAATAATTTGAAAATTTAAACGAAACCAATTATGTAAGAAATGTCACTTACAAAATTGGATTTAAAAAGAAATAGAAAACAACGTCTCTAAAGCTGCTTCATAAATTGCATAGTCAAAATTTCTCAGAGAAAAAAATAAACCCAGATATGTTTAGTGGGATGTTCTTCAAAATAAGTATTTTGCCAGGCTTGACCTCTTCCAAACACAGCAACACAGGTAAGACTTTCCTCTCTCATCCTAACTCTAAAACCAGACAAAGACAACGTGTGCCAGTCAGAGACGAGCCTTATGCATGATGCTTTAACTAGCATTTGAAGGTTCACATGTGACATTCTTACTAAGCAAGAATGGCTCCCCTAACGTCAGATTTCTCCACTTGCATTGTCGAGATAACTGCCCCCCTTTGGAAGACTGCTGATACCCTTGCCCATTTATTTGTTTCAGCCGGAACTCTTGGGAGGAAAACGACCGAGTCACTCGGTCATCCAGACTGATGTTTTTGTGCACATGGAATAAATAAACATAGCATGAGTGTTCTGCTCCGTGTGTACCCCTGTGTGGGTGTAAATGAACTCTACAGTAAAATTCCATTCCTTCTTTGCTGGGAAGGGCTTGCAAAGGACCGGTGTTTCTGGTGCTGTAATTACACGGCAGTTTCTTCTCCCGTTTCTCTTGGCTGTTTCTTTGCTTTGTACTCACCATGATGTGAACTCAGCCTCAGAAACAACCTCCGAATTGATCATTGCTCTCTGCCATGTCCACTCACTCACTCACTCACCAAACAACGGGAACTCTGCTTGAGGAGCTGCAGCCTCCCAACTGGCTAGCAGAAGGTGTTCTTTCCAAATTGTTGTAATTGCGTTGGTCAGGAGTTCCCCCAAGTTAGTTCCAGTTACCAAGCCTCACAGCAACTTCCAGGCTGGCAATAGCCTTTCCTATTCTGGAACATCAGCTGCGGTGTCCCGTGCCCCCTCACTCCCACTGCCGGGCCGCTGTGCTCCCAGAGGGCACACCCAAGCCAACGCTCCTAAAAACGATCTTGGCATGCTCCCTCAGTAGGTACCCTTTTTATTCTTGGAAGGTTATTTTGACACGCCCGCTCGGGGCCCTGTTTTTATCCTTGTAAGTTCCATTCATTTGTTTCTGGATGAGAAGAGGGTTTGCAAAGTCTGTGCTCGTTCTTTGTTAGCCCACCATTTTAAAGGCTAACTGCTCCTTTATCCATCCACGCACCTAAAAAAAAAAATGCTGGAAGGAAAAAAAAATTGCACCACAGGCCCCACTGGGATTCGAACCCAGGATCTCCTGTTTACAAGACAGGCGCTTTAACCAACTAAGCCATGGAGCCAACTGCTGTGGCAGCAGTTAAAATAAACCTCTATTTAATTTCTACAGATCATTTTGTTCATTTATATTTGAAATAATTGGAGTGTAGTTAGGTTTTTTTCTCTCTCTTTTACTATAGATTTAATTTTAATTTATTGTTTATTGCCCACGTGGAATGGTATTGAGAAGACAAATAATATCAACTATCTATGAAAACGCTCAGCCTTCATTCAACTGCTGTCCCACAGGGCCCCTGCTCCCACAGAGCAAGTCCGGGAAAAAGTGGAAGACATAGGACAGAACAGCTTGCAGAAGCCTACTTCTGAATTCTTGCACCAGGATTCTTAGGGACCAGAAATGTGTGAATCTCTATGTGTGTATGGGGAGGGTGCATTTACCCTTCCCTCTTTGATCGCGACTGTTGCATGTTTAACGAAAAATTTACTTTTTTTTTTTTTTTTTTTTTGAAATAAGGTCTCACTTTGTAGCTCAGACTCGACTCCAATTCAAGGCAATTCTCCTTCCTCAGCATTGTGAGCGCTGGGGTTACAGATGTGAGCCGTCACACTTGCCTATCTCCTTTAAACGTTGGGGAAATTCTGCTGATTATTTAACTCTTGATGTATCTTTTCATTTTAAAACCCCCCCTTTACTCTTATCATCCCAAAGTTCGGGTGACTCCTCTATCAAGGAAGTATAAAGTATAGGAAGGCCACATTTTCAGAGTTAGGAGCAGACAATAAAACACACACACACACACACACACACACTTTTGTATGATCTCCAGAAGGATCCAGAGGTTGCTCTCAGCAGGGCAGAATGAAGACAGTCTGGTTTCCATCCAACATTAGTGTATCAATTCTGTTTACATTTCATTATCCTAGCATGGGTCTAATTGGCTCAGCCAACGGCTGTGCAGTGGGCAGAGTAATCTCACCAAGGAAGAGGAGCAAATACTTCTCGTAATGGTCTATTCCAATGAGCAGCCTGTGGTTCTGTTTGCAAAACGCAGAGAGATGTTTTTTCATTTTTCTTTTTTGTGTTCCTCTCCCTATCTGTGTTGAAAATATTGGGGTTCGTGGCTTTAAACTTGTAATTTTGGATACATGAACATCAATTCTGTAAAGGAAAACTGAATTCTGCAGAGGATGGTGATATTTGTTTGTGATCTAACAAATAAAGCTTGGATGAAAATCAGAGTGCAGAGCTAGCCACACTGGTTAGCCATAGAGGCCAAGTGGTCATCCCTCTTCCTCTTCTACTCAACAGAGTCAAGTCGTCTTCAAAACTCCGCAATCACATTTTGAGCACTTTCTCTTTATGTTTCTCTTCTATACTATCTCTAATTTATGTTGCTTTTCTCGCCATTTATGGTTTTTATATGAAAGGAACAATATTTGTGTATTCTTCTACAACCTGACTTTAAAAAGTAATATATCTTATATGTAGCCATTACTGATATGCATAACTGTAGGCTATTTGTTCTTACATATTTTTAATTTCTAATTTATTTGCTTACTACAAGACATGGTCTTGCTATGCAGCCCTTGGTTGCCTCAAATTTCCCGCAATCTTTAAGGTTGTCTCCTCAGCACTGGAGGTGCTGGCCTGTGCCATTGTCTCAGTTAGGGTTTTTGCTGCTGTGATAAAACATCATAAGCAAAAGCAACTTGAGGAGGGAATGGTTCTTTTCATCTTACACTTCCAGTAACAGTCCATCACTGAGGGAAGTCAGGGCAGGAACCCAAGTAGGACAGGAACCTGGAAGCAGGAACCCAAAAGCCGTTGAGAAATGCTTCGTGCTATCTTGCTCCTCATGGCTTGTTCCTCAAGGCTTGCTCAGCCTCTTTTCTTTTCCAGG